TAATTACACATGGAGCCAAACTTTGTGAATGTGTACGAATGTGGAAACGCTGAATCAAATCCAGTGGAAATTTGGAATCTGGCATGAAGATTTCTCCGAGCATTATCTCATTTCATCTTCATTTGTCACATTTGTACAATGATATAAATGGACAATAATATGAGTCAACGGGTCGGAAAATGCCTTATGGCCAAATCTGAACTGTTCTCAAGAATGTAGAAATCCAGAAAAGGTTGTTCCCACCTATATTTCCATGAAAATGACTTTTAAAAGAAGAAAATGGACCTCAATTATTCCCAAACTCAAAGAAAGCACAAAAGATATTGTATTTACACAGTCTTTCCCAAAGTAGTGCCTTCCAATATGATGGACTGTAGCATGATCAAATTAAGTACCGTAGGTGTTTGGGGAATTATATTTCAATACATGTACAGGAAATTAGTTGAGAAAGAAGAAGTTTAAGTAATCATAATACAATGTTGTTTATGACACAGATGCAGATGTCACAATTCTGTCATCTAAAATGCATACAGGATGCATTTAAATGTTTTCATTTAGGGCTACTGAATAGAAAGCTGAACTTGTTTGCCTTCTTTGACTGATTCAGGGGAAGAACTTGGAAAAAAGATGAACAATTAAATAATTATCCTATTTCTATCCTCTGAAATCTAAATGAGCTTATATCCTTTATAGCTTTTCATACAGAATCAAAGAACTGACTGTGAAAGTCCGCATTCGGAAATTAAGAACATAGCATGGATTGTTTTTAACACCAATATGTCTTTTTATCATGTCTGGCTTTCATATAGATGTTTAATATTTTTTCTATGGTCATTATTTATATTTTATGAGGTTTTTTTTTAATGTTAGTAGTCCTCAATCTCTGGAGCTGACAAAATAGAGATATTAGTCAAAGACGCACAAAATGCTCAATGCTGTTCTAAATATTTATGATCCATGCTAAATACTGAATTAGAACTCACATAAATCACACCTAATATCCACATCTAGAAGGCATTAAACTGAGGAAGGCTGCTCTGGGCGGACAGATTATTACTTTCATTTTATGCATCCTTGCATACTAAGTCACTGGATACTTCGACGTGCCCCCGTTTTAAGCTTTCCAATCTTTTGAAACCTATCTGCATCCTTTTATTTTTTCTTCTGCCAAGTTCAGAATCTTGAGAAAAGGCATTAAACACAATTCAGCATTTCCTCTGGCCGACCTATAAAAGAGTTGAAAAATGTCATTGGGAGACATTCCCCGCCTTCTGAGCTGCAGCTCCTGGAGAATAGGGGGGGCCCCATTTGCCCCTCTCTCCTCAAATGGGACAGATGCTGTTGCCATCCCACTACGTTTGCAATAGTGTTTCTGCTTAAACATCACAGCCAGATAGAAACATGAAAAAGATGTGTCCATGTTATTGCAACTAGACATTTCTTTTTGCAATTGCCCTGGCTATGATTGTATTGTGGCAGCAACAGGAGTAGGAGAAAACTGACTGATATGGACAGTTTTGGTTATTTTCTTACTGTTACAGTTTTGGAGGAGTACAGTAGGCCAAGGAAAGAGAGTAGAGTGAAATTGACAGGCATTCTGACTGTTTCCCTCTTTCAATTTCTGGAAAACTCCTTGAGAAATACCCACTTCTTCAATCCAGGCAATTTTACCTATCTGGTCCTTTCAGGCCTGCTATGATTGAGTATTTCCAAAGGAGAGAGATAACACTTGAGATAAATTGGATGGGGAAATAGCTAATTAAGAGAAGCAGCTGGAGGAAAAGCTTGCTTTTAGAAATCTAATCTTGCTTGGCCATGCTATGCACAGGAATACAAAATGGAGATCATTTTTTTCAGGAAAACTCACCTAAATCTCTTCATTGTTATAATTGTTTTCTGCAGTAGCACTATTCAATTTACTCAAGTGCTTTACACTTTAAAAAGCGGGGCTTGAAAATTTGTTTTATATTTAATATTTTAAACATTTTATAAAATTTTAAGTTTGGTTAATTTTATAAATTCTTTGATATCTGGCAATTCATATGTCATTAACTGTAAAGTCAGTTGACATTGCATCTGATTAAATGCTTAGATGAGTTTTTAGGAGCAAAATTATTTGTAAATCAATATCAAATTGGATTTGATGCCAAGTTATGAACTTTGTTTGAAGTAGTCTATGTATCATTTTATATGCACAATATTATATGTAGGAATAAATCCTTTATAATAAATTTCATTGCACAAGTACTAAATCATTTCAAAAGGAAATC